TAATAAACCACCTTTGTTAAGAGCAGTCATCAGCCCGGTCCTTCAGGTTTTGCAGGAGTTTGTAGGGAACAGACCCAAATTCCAGTCCTACCTCTAAATTTCTAACAGCTTGCCTCGGAGAGATTCTGGACAGTAACACATACAACGGAAAGAAAAGACTGCACAAGGAGTAACAGCAGGTTTGCCACGAAGAACAGAAGTTCCTGTTCTCCCTCATCAGGCTGGGACTGTAGGACCCAGTCTTTGCCATCAAGAGACCAGAGCGTTGTCATTAAGACTTAAACCTCTCCCCCATGGGTGTTTCTCAGAGGACTGAGCCAGCACTGAGCTACTCCCATGTGCCTGCAGTGGTTTGGGGAGGGGCAAGACAACCTCCCACTTCTGCTTGGAAGAGAATGAAAAGTTATTCCCCTTCTCTCTCTCTGACCCAGCACCAAAGCAGTCATGTAGGACAACACCAGACTATGCACAGAAGGCCTGATTCAACTGGGAAAGAAAAAAATCCTAAACAAACAAACCCACCCTGAATTTCAAGGCAAAAATACGCTGCTCCCTGAACAGGAGCACACAAAATGCACTGAAGCCAGAGAGAAAATGACAAACCAGGAAAAAAAAGAGCCAAAAGAAATGCTCTGCCTGCCTTGATACGCTCTCTGCTTGATCATTCCAAAGGAAATTCTCCACAGATCAGGAGCAATTACCAATCATTTTTCCTCTGTAACAAATGAACAACTTGGGTTTCTGCTGAGGGGCTGGACATGTCCAGTGAGGGTTCAGGGTCTGGTGGGTTGTTTATGGCAGATCCTGACCGGCCCAGGCCAAACCCAACCACCCCCATCGCTGCTCCATCTCACATGGAGAATATTGATACTGTATAGAAATACTCCCCTTCCCTGCTGCTCCATCCTTCCTTACACATCCGTGGAACAGGTTTTCTCCACCCTTTGTTCCCAGCAACAGCTCTCCAGCCTGAACCCCAGCTCCCACCAACACAAACTAAACACACCTAAGGCGATGGTTCCATCAGCACCTGGAATTCCAAGCTCCCCGTTCCCTGGAATGCTCATCCCAACACTAACAGCAATCTCACCTCAGCCCACAGGCTCTCTGTCCTCAGAGGCAAACACAGCCTGCTCTAGCACCACATTTCCTTTCACTCCTGGTCTCCTGCAAACCCCCAGGGAAATCCAGTCCCTCAGACCCTGCATCCCTGGACATGAGGGGAACTGGAGTTTGACCCGGATCCCAGTGTCCTGGACAAGTGTGTTCCCAGGAGCACATGCCTGTGGCTCCATCCAGCCCATCCATCCCTCCTTTCTCCCCAGGGAGTCCCAAACCCTCCCCCAGCTCCACTGCACCTGTCCCACGGCCCAGCCCAGCTCCAGGCTCTCCCCCAGTGCTGTGTCAGCTCCAGCCCTGGTAGAGCTGCAAACACCCCCCAGGCTTGGTCCCCCGGGCTCCTGAACCCCCAAACCAAGGCTCAGGCTCACCAACGGGGACCCACCTGCCCCTCTCAGCACAGCCCAACCCCACAGCTCGGGGACCCCAGGCTCACCTTCGCCCCTTCCTCTCCACCCTTCCCAGCACGGCAAGGACCAGAGTGGAGTGGGAAACAGAGCCAGTGCCCAGGGAGCAAATGCCAACAGGCAAGAGGAGAGAAACGTGTCCCTCTAACTTAGCCCACGGGCAGCACCAGGAGCCCCCAGCGCTGGTCGGTGGGGCTGCAGCCTCTTGCCTTTGGCTGCTCACACCCCAACACATTTGCCATTGCTGGACCCAAGTCAATGATTTTTCCTGTCCTGAAAGAGAGGAGAACAAGAAAATTAAGTGCACCGGGGAAGTCAAAGGCTCTTGGCTTTCACCCTTCTCTTCTGATTACTCACTACAGGCGTTTCTTCCCTAAAACCCGCTCTTACCTCTCCCCTCTTCCCCCCCCGCCCCCGGCCGATCGCCCCCACTGCCCTGCCCGGTGGCCCCGAGCGCTTCAGGCCCGGCCCGGCCAACGCCTCGCTCTGCGCAGGCGCCGCTTCCCAGCCCGCCCCCGAGCGCCGGGCCCTGCCTCACAGTCGCCGCCTGGCGGACACGGCCGGGAGCGGCACTGCAGCCGCGCGCGCCACTGCAGCCGCGCGCCCCCCCCCCTCGGCGAGACGCGCGGCGCCTTTCGCGAGTACGGGCCTTTCTTCCCTAAAACCTGCCCTTGCCTAGGAAAAGCTGAGCAATTCACAGAGTTGCTGTTTCCAGCCCAGCTTCCCAAAGGATTTCTCTCTCCCGGCAGCACAGACAGGGTCCCCGAGGCAGCGCAGACCCTCCCCGGGGGGGTGCAATGCCAGGGTACATCCGACCCCGGCCCTGCCGCTCTCGCCGCCCCTTCTTCTGGCGGCGGCCCGCAGGTGCAAGTTTCTCCGCAGAGGCGAGAAACTTGCCTGTCGCTTCCCCTGCCTGCAGCCCGACGGCCGCGGGAGAGGCAGAAGAGCGGCCGCCACCGCCGCCCCCCCGCCGGGCCCCCGCTTACCCCGGCGACGACCTCCCGGAGAGCCCGACGTCGGATCTGCCGCCGTGGGTCGCTTCCAGGGGAGGGAGGCGGCGGCGCAGCCCCGACAGCATCTCCGGGGCTCGGCGGGACCGAGCGGGAGCGGAACGGGGCAGGCGAGCGGGCAGCGCTGCGCGTGCCTGGGGTCCTCGCGCGTCCGGCGCGCGCCGCGGCGCCGAGAGGGGGCTGCCCGCGCCCGTGCCTGCCGTCGCCCACGAACCTGCCGCCCGCGCCCGGCGCCGCCGAGCGCCCCGCCCTGTCCGCACAGCGGGAAGCGGCGCGGCGAGACGGTGCTGCGGGTGCGGGGCGGGGGTCCGTGTCGGGGCGGAGGTCAGGCAACAGGATAGACGCCTCTCTGAGGCAAGGGGTCCTCTCGCCGCCATCTTTAGTGTGGCCTGGGCTAAGATGAGGTCCTGGCGGCGCCATCTTGAGTGTGGCCTCGGGGCGAACTCCCGGGCCGAGCCCGCCATCTTTGTGTAGGGCCTTGGAGGACTTCCGGTTCTGGCGCCGCCATCTTTCTTTTGGGGTGGCCTCGCAGCACTTCCGATCCGGGAGGGCGCCATCTTTGGTGCGCCGTTGAAAATAGTCCGGTCGCTCTCACTTCCGGTCTCTGAGTTTACCCGGAGAACGTCCGTCACTAATTTCTGCGCTTTCACCTCAAAAATCTTCATGTTATTCCCCCCACACACCCCGGGAGAGACAGGAGACCAGAAGTCCCGTCGTGCCGCGGGAACCGGCCTTTAAATTGAGCAGGGAGCGCTGCAGTGTCACAGGGGTCACTGCGCATGCGTCTTTCCCTCTCCTGGCCGCCCTTAACTAGGTGAACGCGGGCATCTTGCTAATGAGTGCGCATGCGCCGAGTCCCTACCTTGACTGGCCCCCCCCCCACCCCACCTGACCTGCTGGCTTCGCTCTCATACCGCGCACGCCTCACCCACTTTTCTGGGGCCCATCTCTGATATTTCAGGGCTCGCCCTCCACTTTTTCAGGTCCCTGGGGTTCCCCCACCCACGTTTTGGGGTCTCCTTCTCACATTTTAGGGCTGACGCCCCAAGTTACAGTTCGGAGGGCAGGGGAGTAAAGGGGATTTTCTTTTTTTTTTCTTTTATTTCACTGTTCATTTTATTTCCTTTTTAGTTTTCTTGCTTTTAATTTTTTCTTAATTTTCTTTTGTATTTTATATTTCCTTCTTTATTTTGTTTATTTTTTATTCTCTTTGTTTTTCATTTTCTCTCCCAGTGCTCCTCAGTAACAGCCAGTGCTCCCCAAAAACCCCCAGTAACACCCAGTGCTCCTTAGAAACATCCAGTGCTCCCCAGTAAACCCAAGTAACACCCAGTGCTCCCCAGTAACATCCAGTGATCACCACTAACATCCAGTAACACCCAGTGCTCCCCAACAACCACCAGTAACACCCAGTGCTCCCCAAAAATTTACCCAAAACTGACCCGAATTCACCCCAAAAATTCATCCAAAACTGACCCAAATCATCCCAAAAACTGACACAAAACTGATCCCAAACACCCCAAACCAGCCCAAATCACCCCCAAAACTGCAAAAACTCTCCAAAAACTGACTCGAATCACCCTAAAAAATGACCAGAAACTCACCCAAATCACCCCAAAAAATGACCAAAAACTCTCCCAAATCTCCCAAAAAAATGTCCAGAAACTCACCCAAATCTCCCCACAAAATGACCAAAAACTGATCCAAATCTCCTGAAGAAATGACCACAAACTCACCCAAATCTCCCCAAAAAATGACAAGAAGCTGACCCAAATCACCCCAAAAAATGACCGGAAACTGACCCAAATCTCCCCAAAAAATGACTCAAAACTGACATAATTCATATCAAAAAATGACCAGAAACTGACTCAAATCACCTAAAAAAAATTACTGAAAACTTTAGATATCCCAGACCCATTATAGGGACCCCAGAGCCCCTATAGAGACCCCAGACCCCCTATAGGGAGTCCAGACCTATTATAGAGACCCCAGACACCCTATAGGGAGTCCAGACCTATTATAGAGACCCCAGAGCCCCTATAGAGGTTGCACTGTCACTGCCCCCAATGCCATCTGGCATTCTGATTTTAAAGGATACGGATTTGGAGATCCCACAGTAGGGGTAATACCTACAGGTTCTGCCCTCTTCCACTCTCCTGCAATTCCACTGGCCCACACCACAGGAACAACTGCAGCTGCCACTTCAGTCGGGACCTTGCTGCTGACAGGAGTTATTCCCTGCACAACGAGAGCTGGCACAATGTGCTCTGAAAGATCTGAACGCCACGCTGAAAAAAGAGAATTTTCTTTTGAAAAAGTAATTTTATTTTCTATTTTCTACAGAGTTCCCAGCGAAACTTTCCCATTACTGAAGGGAAAAAACACAGGTCAGGCAAAGCTTATCCAGCACTAGTGAAACACACCCTTGACAGTGCAGGTGCACCTGTCCTTGGAACTCCACTATGGTCCTGCCACTTCATCTTTGCACTGACAAAGAAAACTGCAGTGTTGAAAGAGTGCTGAGATAAAGAAGGATACATTAAGTGGACAAGAGGGACACACAAATAAAATAAATAAAGAGCATTTGTAAAACTTTCCATATACAAAATAACTTCTGCTGGAGGATGATTTTCAATTTTTTTTTTAAATGACAGCCTGAACAAAGATAAATGTTTCATCAGAAATCATTTGAAAATGCTGTTTTTACAAGCAACAACAGGGCACTAATCAAACTAGTGCCTGACCAGCCCTTCCATGGAGAAATTCTTCCTGCTGTACAGCCTGAACCTGCTCTGGTACAGCTTGAGGCTATGACTTCTCCTGGTGCTTGTTACCTGGGAGAAGAGGCTGATCCCCACCTGGAAACAACCTCCTTTCAGTTAGAAAACTCCAAGATTATTTGAACTGTGTTCTAGAACACTTGTTAGGAACAAATTGCCCAGATGCTTCTCCGAGTGTGATACTTTCATATCCCTGGCCAGCTGAGTTGCCACAGCAGGAAAACTTGTCCAGGACAGAAAATCTGCGCTTTTGAGAAATCCCAGCTATGAACTCAGCACTCAAGGGTTGGGTTCTCACAAGGGAGGGCACTGAGCTCCAAAAAGCTGAATTCCAAAGAATAAGGCAATGAAAATGAACAGACAGACAGGGTGAGCTGGCATGTCATACCCAGGAGATGCACGGCTAAGCTGCATTACCTTTTAGGGTGTCAGATTGATTTGCCCTCCTCGCTGCACTACCCAAGAACCCAAGGCAAGAAGCTCAGCTTTACAATGAAGAATGTTACACCTCTAACCCCCCCATCCATCAGTCCCTGTAAGGACAGAGAGAACAATTAACAGTTCGTGCTGCTTCCAAAATCTCGTATAAAAATAGATCACTGTGTCCTTCTGGCAGTCTGGAAAACCTACAAATCCCTCCTCCTTCATCTCTCCATTTCCACAGGAACAGTCAGGTCCCATCGCCGAGACTTGCACGTTGGTCACATTCCCAGAGCAATGAAGTTGGTCCTCTCTCCCCTTGGAATCCATTCCATTGCCATCCTCGTGGTCTGGATTGGGTCACAGTTTCTTTTCTGTCCCGAGGCAACGCACGGGCAGTGCCACCCAAGCGTGGGTGTGAGGAGAGCCCTGCCCAGCCCCTGCCTCAAACACGGCCGTGGCAGAGGGGCCTCCCGGGGTTATCTGCACGCACACGACTCCACCGTCATGTTGGGGTACACCTTCAGCACCACGTTCCTGTTCTCATCCAAGAACAGGATGCTGAGAGAGGACATTCTGTCGGGAACGCAGCAGGGCTCGGGGACGCCGGGCACGACTCCGACGGCTCGCACGATGCTCTGGATGGTGGCGTGGTTGGACGGCTTCAGGGCCTGCAGGAGACACACAGGGCACAGCAGGTTACTGCACCCACAGTCAGGACTTAAAGAAAGCAAATAATTATCTCCAAACACTGTCAAAGAAGGCAATTCCCACAAGGTGAGCCACCACAGGAACCTGTGATGAGAGCAGACGGCAACAACAGGAACCAGGCCTAGTAAGGCAGACCCGGGTAATGGACCCCAACAAAGATTCCCACCGTGGAAAACTGTGAGAAAGGAAAGCGCTAATCCCAGGTCTAAACCAAGGGGAAGGTTTGAAATCAGCACACGGGACAAAACTCCACTGTGCAAGCTGTGGGGAAGGAAACAACTGGCCATGCCAAGCTGGGGGAACATCTGAGACAGCCCGTGGATATCCAGGGCTGGGACTGTACAGAAGTGGTGCCCTGGAAACACGACTGGGGGACCCTCAGCACCAAGGAGACCAGCGGAAGGACCGGCAGGATGCCGTCAAAATCCATGTGGTGGTGATACCTTCATCTTCTTACTTCATCTGTCTCATTCTCTCTCTCCCTACCTCATATTTACTGTTAAATAAAATCTGTACTATTGACCTTGGCATATGGTCTCGTTGGCACCCTTAATTCAGGCAGAGGCAGCTTTCAATAATTGGATCCTAACAGCCCCGCATGAAATTGTCCCTGTGGCACGTTCACAACACCAGAATATACTAAGATGCTCACAAAAATAAAGACAAACACATAGAAATGCAAAATACAAAGTTCTACCTCTGACCCACCAAATCTTTCCAGATCCAAGTACCTGTACAAAAGATAGGTGGGCGTGAAAAATGCAGAAAATGCAGCTTTCAGCCAAAGGCTCTTGGTTTGTTTTCTTTAGAGCTGTTCTTACACACAGAACCTGGAATTCAAACCAGTTCCCTGTGCTGCTCCATCACACACCACTGTGAAATGGATGGAACAAGGTCATTGGGGCCAAATGTGCAACCTGCAGTTCTGCTGTGACACGAGATGATTTCCTTCTGGGAAGACAACCAGCCTTAGGGGTAGATCTGCACCAACCTGAGGAGCAAGTCTCAGTGACCTTGCAAGCAAAAAGCACAGGAATACCTGTGAGATTCCAGCTCGTAATGTCGTTTGCATAACATGTTAGTACATTTAGTAGGAAGTCTCCATTTGGCAGCTGATCTCAAGAAAGGAATGTCTGTTGGTTTGTTCTTGAATTCAGTGGTAGCCAGGGATTTAAAAACATGTCTTAGATCATCATACAGTTCCAGTTTTTGTACCATTTCTGCCTGGAAAAGGAACAGAAAGCTCCAGTAGCAGCCAGGCTTCTTTCCTTCCTCAGCTGCAGTGCAGTTCTCCACACAACCAACCAGGAGCCCAGCTGCTGGCCCAGGCCTGCCGATCACATGCCAAAGGGTGCAACACCCAGGGAGACCCTATTTCCTGGAGCCAGCAGCACTGGAACTCAAATCAGGCATCTGAACAGGCCATGTAGCACCAGAAATGCTCTCCTGCAGGTATGGAATATGTACTGCCAGGATGTTGAACTGCACTGGACCCAGCTCCAGCAAAGCAGCACTGACTGGGTTTCAGGCATGGCCTCGGCCGTCAGCGGGAACAACCTGGGCATGTTCTGTCCCAAAAAAAGCATCTCTGTTTGACACAGGTCTCACCCAGCACGGAACATCTTCCATACGGCACGTGCCCAACACGTGTGGCTTTGACAGCAGCCAAACCAGTTCCTGGAACTGGGGAATGTGGAAGGCCAGAAAATCAGAGGTGAGAAGTTCTTAGTTCCCCAACAGGCTGTCAGCTCCAGGAGCCTGCCCTCAGCCAGGGCACATTCTACACGTACAGGCACACATTAGGCTGTTGGTGCCTGACAGCCAGAGTACCATTTTGCAAACATGGTCCAAGCAGCAGCCCCAGGCATTCTGCATCGCTCCAGAACAACACACAGCTCCAGAGGACACCCCCGTATATAATTCAGTTTTTCATTCTCTTTGGAAAACAAGGTCATTTTGGTTTTTGAGATTAAAAAAGCGCAGGAACCAAACAATTTGAATTTCAACAGTGGACTGAAATCTCCCAGTGGCTTTCAGGGAGCCCTGAACCCACGGCGGGGATCAATACCCTGCTCTTCCACCGCTCAGATCCCTCTGCCACGCACAGCTCTGCAGGGCTGAAACAGCTGCAGCGCTCCGCTGCTGGGACTCTTTAATCACATTTTTACAGCCAACACCGCAGCTGGAAATGCTAACCCAGTCCTAAGCAGAGGGATACAGCAGGCCTTTTTATAATTTCTGTGCCCTTACCGTTAGAACAGAAGCAGTCCAGGTGTGGCACCACTAAGGTTTCTGATCTGCACGCTGACTGACCGGTGTGACCCAGCACGGTTCCAGCAACACAGCAAAAGGCCCAACACAGTGTATCCCAAGGTAAGAACTCTGTCTCTTCCTGTTCCCTTTTCCCCTTGATTCAAAACCTGAAAGCCTGCCACTGCAGCTGGAGGTAGTCAGGCAAGTCATCTCCTCCTTCAAGGAGAGGCTTCTGCCCTCCTCAGCTGCTTCCCCTGGGCTCCATCCCCTTCGGCATGGTTCCTCCTCCCTGGGTTCCTCGAGCCCCTGAAATGCCATCTATATTTTGGAACTAACTGCTCAGGCTTCCCTGGGGCAGGAATAAAGGCTCTGGAATGGGATGCTGCAGTGAGTCCAAGCGCTGCCTTTAGTGCAGTGTCCTGCAGGCGTTCTTCACCCCCCCCCCCCCCTCGTCCTAGCCCAGCCTCCAAACCCACAGCCCACTCTCACCTTTGGAGAGCCTCAGGGGGGGGGTCCCTGCTGCTGAGAAGGGCACGGTACATTTGGAGCCCAGTTCATCCACCTGGGTCACAGGGCTGGGAGCACATCAGCCTTTCCTGGTACTCACATGCCAACTCATGCAAACCAGGGGACACTGAAAGCATCCATCGCTCTTGGATCCCCTCACTCTGTCACAGGAGTAACTCGCCTGACTCATCTGCAACCCAGGGCTCCCTGCCCCTGTGCCAGCCCTGCCTCACGAGGCACGTGCTCTTCCTGCAGGGTGCCGTGCCCACCGACTGTGGCGTGGGCCTGGCACGTGGGCCTGGCAGCACAGGCTCCTTTGGGGCACAACTGCTGGCTTGTTTTATGTTTATTAAACCGGTTAATAACAAGTTCACAGATCATAAGCACTATTCAGGAAATGTTTTATGGCAATTTCGGTTCTGGACAAAAAACTAACACCGAGTATTTTTTTAATTCCCTTCGCAAGCCTGTCTGTTTACTGGATGTTCTAAGCACTGCCCCTTGCAGCAGGAGACAGAGACACCACTCAGGTCCTAGAGCCCAACACACAATGGGACTGGCTGCCTGTACTGCCTCAGGAAAGGAAACGCACAGCTTACAGTGCAAAGGAATCCCTAAAGCTCGTACCTTTGGGATGGGAAACTGGCATTCCCCCGAGCAGTAATAGGCATCGAAGGACTTGGGGGAAATGATCCACTCGCTCCAGCCGATGTCTGCAAAGTCCACCCTGAGGTAGCGCCGGGCGCAGGACCTGGGCTCGTTCCACTGCTTCCTCCTCGCCTTCTGCAGCGTTTGCTCATCGAACTGCAGAGTCTGCCTCTGCTGGCCAGGAGGCTTCCTTGGCTTTTTCTTACTCCTGGCCCTCTCTGCTAACTGTGGCTGGAAGGTTTTGTAGGGTTTCCTGCCTCCCCATCTCTCCTTCTGGCCATAGTGGTACTCAGCCCCCGGCAGCTCGTTGTTCTGCAAAGGCAACAGGGTGTCTGCAGAGCGTGTCCTCCGGCGCTTCCCAAGGCTGCTCCTCACCCGGCCGTCTGCCCTGGGAAAGGCTCCTGCCAGAGGGTGACGGTGCCCTCGCAGAGTGGAGACGACGCTCTCTGGTTCTGAGATGGCGGAGTCGTTGGCATAGATCAGGATGTAGGGTTCACAGCAAGGAGGTGCCCTCTCCCAGGGCTGGTGGCTCCTCAGAGTCATTTTGACACCGATCAGCAGTTCGTTGTTTCGCTTCGCTTCATGCAGGAGTCCAGTGATGTCCTCCCACTGCCAGGAAAGGACGTCCTGGGAAGCAGTGGAGACGTTGATTAGGAAATGTCCCAGGCTCCGAGGCTGGTTCCCAACAGAAGGAAAGGTCCAAACCGACAGACATATGTGAATGTCAGGTCTCCTCTGGCTGTGATGAGAGCAGCTGCTGGGCTGGGAGGAGTTCCACTTGACCCGCAGCAGATCTCCAATATAATAATACACTGAGGCCGACAGGACGTTCTCAGACTCCGTGAGTGACGTCAAGTTAAAAACGTACATTTCCTGCCCTTCCAACCTCCCTGGAAAAACAAACACTTAGATAAGAATATGGACATGTAAAAAAGTCATCGAGAAGACACGCAGGCTGATGTGACAGGCTATGGACACTTAACAAAGTCCTGGAGAAGACACGGAGGCTGATCTGACAGCCTCCTGGCCAGACCAGACACTGATTGTGCTTCAAGTTTCCCTTGAGAATAACCAATGACACAGGGTCTGGAAATCATTCCACCCAGGACACTTCTTCATTTTTCGTGCCAGAGCCAGAGGGAAACAGGTGAGGGACTCCTTTAACCCCCACAGAGTGCAGCAGAAGGGGGGAAGGATTTAATTTTTGTTTTAAAATGTCCTGGTTGGGCTGCAGGTAAATCCACCCTTCAGAGCGAGAGAAACACACATCCCAATGTCAAGCTGTCAAAGCAGGCTGCATGGAAAAGTCAAATCTAGGAGAGCTAAGGGACACTCTGCAGCCCCCCAAAGGGCTGGGAACAACCCAACATGTTAGAAAAAACAAGGGGATTCCAAATTCAATGCTTTTTGGACACCACAGCACGTCAAAGCCCTCCTCAGAGGCTGCAAAGAAGTTCTAGTTTACAGAATTCTGCAAGAGAGTTTTTCTCTACCAGTATTTGAGGGGGGGGGGGTGTTTGTTTGTTTGTTTGTTTTCCAAGCAATGACAAGCATGGAGATGGCCCTGGACTAGGGATGAACAGATGAACAGCCTCACCCTCAAAACACTGGGGAAGTCCCTGCCCAAGCAAGTGAGAACATGATTTCCAGCACTGGTCTGTCAAAGACTTTGACAGCTTCATGTTCCGTGTGACACTCTGTGTGACATCCCAGCTGCTGATGCCATTTGGGTAAGTCCAGCATATTCCCCCTGTGCTGCCCCATTCCCACCCCAACAATCCCAGCAGCCTCCTCTTCTAAACACTTTTTGGTCATGAATATTTCAACCCATCCATTAAACCAGCAGGAAGTGGTCCCATCCCACTAGAAAGACAGAGCCCTTCTCCCCAGATTATCAGATGCATTGCTTCATGGAATTATGGGAAAACAACACACGTTTTCCTCAGTGAAACAGGGCCAAAGCAATGCAAAGGCCAAACCATTTACAGAGGACACCCTTGTTTACACATTCAGCCCAACCTGAGGGCAGAGCACAGAGGGAAGTTCCCAAGAGCTGAAGACTGATGTCCCAAATCCATCCTGTTTCCAGCTGTTATTTATGCCCAGGGAACTAGATTTCCTTCCAATTCGATCCTGCTTTTAATCCCTCAAACCAAAACTGGCTGTTGGTCACACTGGTGCTGAGCACACACAAGGACCTGACATCTGCTTTGTTTATAATCACCAATGGAATAAGGTTAATGCATAATTTGGCAGAACACTGAGTACATCAGTCTTAGGAACCAGAATGTGTGGTGTCCCACGAGCACCTGTTAAAGAGGTTATTATTTAAACCATTGCTGTAACTTGAATGACAGGTTTGGATTTTAATTTTTAGTAAGAATTCCACTTAACAAACCCTGCCTGTTCTGAAGTGGAACACTGCAGCACAAAACCAAACAAGCTGCTGTTTTTGTAAAGAAATTCCAGAGGGCGTGGGACAGACACACGAGGAGTCCAAAGTTCTGGTTCAAAGCCCAACTCCAGCAGCCACTCCCAGCCTGTAACCCCATGCCCAGAGAAAGCACTTGCAGCAGATGGTGCTGTTTTCCTACAAAAAGACCTCCAAGCTCCAGCAGCTCTGAGTTCTCCGATCTCTCATCAACAAAATCATCTCCTGGGCAGCACAGACACCCACGGACTCAACGGCTTCCATCCCAAAAAACCCAATGGAGGGACATGGGTTTCCATCCCAACTTGGGAATACTGTGCCAAGGAGGCCCCTCGTGCCACACGGACACCCGGCTCTGGATGGGAACGTGAAACAAGCGTTCCCCGGGCTTCAAAATGACAGGCATGGCAAGAAAGAGTCAGCTTAAAAATACCTATAAATGCACCTTTTCCTCAGGAACATTTCCTTTCCTTTAAATGAAACTTTGCCCTTGAGCTCTGAGGACAGATTCCGCTGGAAATCTTTCTGGAGGGTAAGATTTAGGAAGAAAAAAAAGCCAAGAAAAAAGTACATGCAACAGAGCCACACAGCTGCTACCTTCCACACACCACGGGGCCAGATCTGAGCAGACAGCTCTGCTCCCCTCCACCCCGTGTTGCTGCCAGCCTGACGAGGACTTTCGGAGACCAAGCTCTGCGTGACAGAGCTCTTTGGAACTGCACCAGGTAGGACACCTGTGTGTGGAGACAGACATGGCCAGCATGAACACATTCCTGTCACAGGGGGCACTTCAAGGCATCACTAAGCTGGAATGAGCCTGTTAACATGTGGTGTATTTATCTTTATAGAGGACGCCCTGACATTTTTATGGACTGCCAAATCTGTCCCACGGGTGAAAAAGGATGCAGTAACAAGGACTATGTAGTTATACAGTCACCATGAGCCATCATTTCAATAAGATATTGAAGTGGTGCCCTCATGCCAGGGCACCATGAAGAATGTGTCAGTGTTTCCACTGTGAAATTTGGTTTTCCTGAGTTCACAGCCCAGCTACAAAAGTTCACTCGGAGCTGGAAATGGGAACAAGTTCCCAAACAAGAACACAAATTTGGAAGCCAGATTTTCTCTTTTCTCCCACCTTCGCTCTCACTCAACTGCTGCTTCCCAGTTACCAACTCCTGTACTGCCAAGAGAAAGATGTAGGATGTGGTTCTCTGCTTTGAAAGAGCACAGGACCCGCTGCCAAAGTAGTTCTACTAATTCCTTCAGCAAAGCAGGTAAGGTCACATGAGCTAGCAACTTGATCTAAAAAAGCAGCAAGTCCACCACTGTGATTAAAGCCAGCAGCTGCTCCAATAAAGAACTCCTCTGGAAGCAGCAATGGTGCATGCTGAGGATCTGACTTACGTGTGCACTTCACAATATGAAACACAAACCTGCACACTGCACATGGTAAGTGTGCTACACAGTGGGCACAGCAACTGTCTTCTACATGTTTGAAGAGAAAAGACCACAGAAGAGTGAAAACCAAACCCAACCTCTAAGTGGAAGCTAGCACAAGCCAAGCAAGTTAAGGGGGTACAGCAAAATAACCCCAAACCAACGAAAAACCCAGCCAAAAAAAAAAGCTTAAACCAAACCCCAAACCCCCACGCTCTCACTGTCTCCTGACTGACTGTTTTTAAGGCTCTCGTTGCAGAAGAGCCCTGCTGTCACTGGTGCTCAGAGGGGCCAGCATTTGGCCCAGACTGGCCCCTGCAGGCTCATGGCAGCTGCTGAGGTGCTGCCTGCCCCGTGCACTGCTCCCTTTGCCCCATGTGCGTGGGCACCTCACACCACAACAAAGCCAAGAAAGGCCTTTCAAAAGGGAGGAGAACACAGTTGTTCTAAAACCACAAGAATTGGCCTAGAGGCAGGTGTAATACCTGAAATTACTTGAAATTCAGACAATAAAAAAGAGTTTAAAGTAATATCTCTTACTATAACATCATTAGAGGGACCTTCCAACCCGAGTCGAGTTTTTTAAATGACTCATTTGCAAGACACGTTCCTTAAGCGATGCTGGGATTAAAAATGCTTTCAGAAGCAAACCTAGTCTGCTTCTGGGGCTTTTCTCTTTCCCCTCTCTTTCTCTCTCAGGGCTGTTTCTGTCATCCTAGAAATGTCCTTGCAACAGTGACGAGAGCTGACACAGAAATCACAGCTGAACATCCCTTGACTCAAACACACAGCAACAAATGAGAGCAGGTAAACCCATGAGAGACAAGTGCCCTGTGGAAGGGGTACATCCTTACTTCACTCCTCTTGGATTTGGGGCCTGGGGTTTCTTTTCAGCTTTGTCACAGGCAGCAAAGGTTCCTCTTCTGAGCGATTCAAACTGAACAGTTAGGCTACGAGATAATCTAGCAAGATTAATGAAAAACAAACCTGCCAGAATAAATGATCGTGTGAACATTCATCAAAACCAAAGGCCAAACCCCTGAGGTCAAACGAGCAACCTTTGACACTCCAGCCCAGTCACAAAATCTGGGGCACCAGAGATTTCAGGGCAGCGTGGGAGGCAAACTTCCGAGGTGCCACCCAGCGCTGCAGCTCTCACCCCATCCCCTTGGAGGACCGAGCCACAGGGAGAGAAACTTGCACTGAACAGCTTTTAGGAGGCTTGATTTGATTGTCTCAGTTGGTTTCTGTTGGCTGTGGGTTCCGAGGCTGCAGCTACCACCCGTGACACCACTGCTCTTCCATCACAAACAGGGATGACTGTGAACAAATCCCACCAACTCCTGGGCTCATCATACAACATCTGTCTTACAGGGTCTCAAAGATTTGTGTGGTAGGTTACCTGGGAGATCTGGGCAAGGCCTTTCCCATGTGCCACATAAGAACCAGCAGCCCTGGAGGGGAAAAGCAAGGACAGAAAGGTTTCACAGCCACATTTGAGAGCCCTGTTTCAGAAAAGAAACAGTTTCTCTCCTGAAAGTGTCAACTTAAATTGCAACATTAAACTGCAAATGAAACCACTAAAGATTTGCTTCAAGGCCTCTTGCTGCAGATGGAGAAGAATCCCCAGATTCTTGGGGAGCTTCTGCTCGTGGCAGACAAAAAGCTGAGTCCTGAGGGAGTTAGCAGCAGGGATGGTAAAACATAAAGGAGTAACAGCAACACAAGGTATTAAATTAACTGATGCAGCCCCATTAAGGACGAGGGAAAGCCCAGGAGAGACTGAAATCTGGAGCCAAGGAGTGCAACGATCAAGGCAGAGGATCTGGAGACTAAGCCCCTCAAAAGAGGAATACGGTGAATGTGCCATTTCCATCGCAGGGCTGGCCAGACAGTCAGACACAAGGAAGAATCAGAGACCAGAAAAAGCCTTTCCACTCCAGCCACCATCCCGAGGAACATCTGATCTAAGGGTTTTCCGGAAATGTGCTTTTCTGCCATCAGTACAACACAAAACGAGCTGCTGTTGCCTATGGCAAGAGAAAGACAACAACTCAATTTAGCCCTCGCAGAGCTCAGATGCACAAAACCCAGAACAGAGCGAGGGGATGGAGCGCCAAGACAGTGGCCAAGACATCTTCTCTTTCTGCTGGGACACTGCTCCTTTGGGATGTTGGCATGTTAAACATTCCCCCCCTCGTTATGGAAAGTGATTTTATGTTTTCACCAATCCACCTGTGCATGTTAGTCTGTAATCACAGAGATATCTAAGTGCCACTGCCAAAGATGCCAAGATGCAGTATTTACCATGCTCAAATCATGCTTCCACTGAACTCCTCTGTCACTGCCTCTAACTGCCAGTACTATCGCCACTTCCCAACGTGAGAACACCGCAGACGGTGTGAAGTATCACCAAACCGTGCCACGGCTCCATCGAGTGCAAACCAGCCCTTGGTTCAACAGAAGCTACACGTGCAAGACAGCACTAACGGGAGACTCCGGAGACGATCCGTTAATTACTGCACCTCCCTCACACTGTACTCGGCAGCGCTGCTACACGCCGAGCTGAAGCGGCAAGGCAGTAACTAAAACAAGGAGCCGAGCGCTGCCCCGCGGGTCCCCCCTCCCGGCGCGGCGCGCACTCACCTGCGGGCAGCGGGCGGAAGGCGCGCACGGTGTTGCCCCGGCGGAGCGGCGGCCCTGCCGCGGCCGGCGGGTCCCGGCTGCCGAGGGACTGCTCGTAGAGCCGCAGCATGTGCTCCGCCACCCCGTCCGCCGCCGGCAGCCGCCCGTGCCCCTGCCCGTGCCCCTGCCGCCGCGGTCCCCAGACCCCGGCACCCGCCGCCGCCCGG